ACAAGACTCCAGAACCATCTGCAGCCTTAGATTTTGAATAGTACACATGATGCCCCCCCCCACTAACCCTATGCTGGCTGCTGTGTGTGGTGATTATAGCATGGTCTTACTGTGCCCCAGTGAGATAGGACCTTAGTCTACTAGTCCTTGGATATTTGTCACAACAATCAAAGGAACGCGAAATGGTTCCCTCTTGTCTGAAGGTGTTAGATGTGGCCTGAGATGAAATGGGAGATACTGAAAGCTCTGAAATTGCTGGATTTGTTTCCACATATGCTGATTCATCCTATACAACCAGACTAACCTACATTGCATGACCTCCAGAGTTCTAACCAGGGTTAGCAGTTCCCATTATTTGTTAGATAAGCATGGCACTGCTACCTTTCTGTAACGGAGAATTAATTATACTTAAAACTACATTCCCTCTGAAAGGGCTTTCTTTGTGATAGAACATGACTCCTCTCCACCCCTGGTGAGATGGTGATGAGAGAATTTCATAAAAACATCACAGTTTGATGCCTGAGATGCCTGAGAAGTAAATACGGTCTTAAGTCATAATATTACTAACTAGGAAACTCTGTTAAAAGTTGGAGATTTTCACTTTGAGAGGCTGAGGTGGGTGGATTGCTTGAACTCAAACGTTTGAGACCAGCCTGAGCAAGAGTGAGACCCCATCTCTAAAAAAAAATAGCTGGGCTTTTTGGCAGCTGCCTGTAGTCTCAGCTCCTTGGGAGACTAAGTTAGGAGGATAACTTGAGCCTAAGAGTTTGAGGTTGCTGTGAGCTCTGATGCCACAAAACTCTATCCAGGGTGACAAAGTGAGACTCTGTCTTAAAAAAGAAAAAGAAATGTAAATGCACATACCTTTGATATGGCAATTCCACACTTAGGAATTTATTGTACAGATTTACTTACCCAACCTTAAAATGACATGTGCAATAGTGTGCATGTCACAGGATCATTGTGAGACCAAGAGAATGGAAAAACCTTTAAGTTCCCTCTGTCTAGGCCTACTAAGGTAAATCTTGAGAAATATTTTCAAAGGAACACTCTACAGTCACTAAAATAAAAAGAGAACCTCACTTGTACTAATATGAGAAAGTCTTCAAGACGTATCATAAGTAAAAAAATAAAGATGTAGGAAGTGTATATAATTACTACCCCTGAATTTAAAAAATAATGTGTGCATATATTATTGTCTCACCTGGGAAAGATACAGAATAAACTAATATCCATGGTCACAACAGGAATGGACACAAATAATTAAGGTGAGAAATGGGAGGATAACTTTACATTATATATTCCTCATTCCTTTAGTATTTGTATGAATTTATGACTTTTTCACATATTGAAACCCAACCCCCACTGTGATGGAATTAGGAACTGGGGACTTAGCGATTGATTAGGTCATGAGGTTGGAGTCCTCATGAATGAGATCAGTGTTTCCATAGCTCTTCTCTTCTACGAATGGAGGACATAGCTAGAAGGTGCCATGTAGGAACCCAACAGTGGGCCCCCAGCAAACACCAAAGGTGCCAGTGCCTTGATACTGTACTCCTCAGCCCTCAGAACATTCAGAAATAGGTGTCTGCTGGACAGACATTTAAAAGCCATGCAATTTATGATATTTTGCTATAGCAGCCATAGAATATTCTAATAGAATAAGATACACTGAAATAATTTAAATAAATTATCACATGGATAAAATAATAATTACAGCCACTCCCAACCTGTTATTGTCACATATCTTTGCCTCCCTATTTGCTCAGCAAGATAAGGCATCTTTATTGGCTCCTGCAACTCTATCATATGCCCTGATTTTTGTCCAAACTCCACTGCACACAACTAAACTCTTATATATGATAGACTTTGTGGATAATCATTACTTGTAAAACATCTTGACAAACAATAAATGACCAATGGATTGTAAAATTGAATACCTCATGGAAAACGATTCTTGAGAAAATGATTTTATTTTTAAAAGAAAATTTACTTTTTTGGCATCTATGTTCTTTTTCCTAATAAAATAATTCCGTCATTAAAAAAATTCACAAAACTGAAGAAAGTGTAAAAATAAAAAATAACATCAAATCTCATCAATGAGCCAGAAATGCTGTTAATTTTGTAGAGATAACCTCCTAGACTTTTATTTTGATTACTGACTTATAATTTTGTATATGTATCATGAGCTGAGCTATTCTCAAACAACACATACTAATTTATCTAACAATAATAACTTCTTCTGCAAAGGTATTTGGAGGAGGGTAGGTAATAAATTTATTTCTTTCATATTGTTAGTGAATTAAAAAGTTTACTAAAAGAAAGACTTTTCCACAAAAATTCAGAAAAGAAGGAACACTGTCGTATTATTGAGTAGGCAGAACCAAGTCCATGTATTAATATATAAGTACTCTGCAGGTGACTAGAAAATCCAGGTAACAGTTCATCCTGTGCATACACCAAAACAAATAAGACTCTTCATGCTGCACTGTTTTTGCAGGTATGTAATATGTTTCCTTAAGATGAATATCATTCTATTTTTCCATAAGAAGGCTTGACACTCAAGTTGCTATTACATGCTGAATTTGCTGCATCGTCTTTCCTGGAGTTCAAACTACTCTTGGGAATCCAAGTAGCTATTTGCATAGTTGCTCGTCTTCATCTGAAAGCATAAAACTCTTTTCTTCCGTCCCTGACAATAAGTGATTACATCCAGGATAGACACCTAGGTTATGCTCCCTTGGTGACAGGGAGCCTAAGGATCTGTCCTTCTGAGCGTTTACATTTCCAAAGACACAGAGCCCAGAATCTTGAAGATTTCCTGGGTTGCAAAGTTAGCAATGTTTTCATTAGCCCAAGAGGGTTTTATTTATATTCAAAGGGTTAGAAAAAAGCCTCTAACTCACTTGTCTTAAAGGAACAAACAACAACATAAAACCTATAAAAAGGAGTGGGAAAATGAGCACTTTTTAGTTTCCTTCTTTTCCTGAACTTATACATAATTCACAAAGATTCAATTGTCCTGCACCTACTTCAAAAAGGAAATCAGATTTTCCTGTTCTGAAGAAAAAAGCGCTGATTTCCCAGAATTAGTTCCATTGTGAAATACTCCTGCCCTGCTTTCACTTTCAACTTCCCAGATAATAACACACGCATACAGCGCGCGCGCGCACACACACACACACACACACACACACACACACAGAGTCTTATTCTCTTCTTCTCTGTTTTTCCCCCTCTCTTTCTTTCTTTTAGAGACAGTATAGAGAAATAATGTGAAATTCAGAAAATGGATTTTTAAATTTGAATCTCACTCAATGACTTGCCAGCTTAGTGTAACTCATGGCCTTCAGGTGAACATATTAGTTAATCTCTTTCTGACTCATTTGGTAAACACAGTTATGTAAGTGAAGAAGTGGTTGATAGTGTTACTGGAATATCTTTTCTTTTTTTTTTTTTTAAAGACAGAGTTTCACTATGTCACCCTGAGTAGGTGCCGTGGTGTCACAGCTCACAGCAACCTCAAACTCTTGGGCTTAAGGGATTCTCTTGCTTCAGCCTCCCACGTAGCTGGGACTACAGGTGCCCACCACAACGCTCAGCTATTTTTGTTGTTGTTGTTGTTGTCATTGTTGTTTAGCAGACCCAGGCTGTGTTCAAACCGGCCCTAACCACTGAGCTACAAGCGCCAAGCCCGGAATTTCTTTCTTCACTAGGTCCTTGGTCTTGGAGATTGGAAGAATGAACCCACAGATCACAGATCAGTGGTAAGACAGGATTTAGGGCAATGCCTGTGGCTCAAGAATAGGGCACTGGACCCATATAATGGAGGTGGTGGATTCAAACATGGCCCTGACCAAAAAAAAAGATAGGATTTATTAGACTGAAAGGAATACAGAAGGTATAAGAAGCACCAGACCTCCGGCAAAAGGAAAGACACAAGTTGGAAGTCTCCATAAGGTTCCTTTTTCTAGGTTATATACTGTTAAGACTTGGGTTTGGCCAGGACTTGGCAGATTAAAAAACACAGTTTTTGAAAAGTTAATGAGTGTATTAACAAATGAATGAACGCAGTCCCTACCCACTCAGCCAGGTTATTAGGTCCTGCGGTTTTTGCTTCAGGGAAGGAATTTGAGTGTGTGCATGCTGGAGAGACGCCCCTTTTCACACTGCTTTGTTGTTGTTGTTTGTTTGTTTGTTTTTATTTTTTTGAGACTTGACCTTGCTAGAGCCCAGAGGATGTGGCCTGGAAAGGGCAGCCTGTTTGTGCCCAGAGATGGGGGTCTGATATCTGAGCTCACTTGGGCCTAGAGAATGGGGGAACCCTGTGTCAATAGCATGAGTTTGGGATTAAGACTTCATGGGTTGAGATCTTACTTAGTAGCTCTTCTAACAAGTTGTTAAATGTCTCTGTAACACTGCAATAAAAGTATTTTAGTAAGGATACAATAGGATGATCCACCTAAAGAAGTTTATACTGGTCTGCATCACGTGTGCAATAATGGGCACTATCATCATTATTATTCTTTACTTATTATATGTGCAGCACCTGGCGCAGGTGCTGAGAATTCAGGTGTACAAGACATGAATGAGGGCACAGAGGGCACTTAACAGTCCTCATTCCTAAACATGAGTTGTAAGATCCACTGAGAATGAGTATAACATTCAAGGACATTGGACCTACAAATTATTAGATGAAATTTTCTCATCTCTGTGCTTCTCAAACTGGTGCATAAACAGGAGATAACATTATTTTAAATGACCCCATGAAGATTTTTTATTAATAGTACACGCAGTCTCTAAGATTTCTTCCAATAATAAAACTGGAAGGATCTGGTTAAGACCTTTTGCCTGGCAAACCCTCCCACCAGAACAGCTCTGGTTCTTTTCAGGGCAAATGAGTTCCTTCTTTAAATTACTTTCAGTTTCATATTAGTGCACTTCTTTGCAGAGGCTGCTTTTCTTTTTAATTTGTCTAATGATAAGGTCTCTGAAAAAACTCTAGAAAGCTCTGGCTCCTTTTAGGGTAAATAAGTTGCCTCCTGAAATTACTTTCAGTTTCATATTGGTGCTTTTTAACGCTGAGGTTGTTTGCTTTTTAATTTGTCCAATCATTAGCTCTCTGAAGAAACTCTGGAAAGGCCAAGGGCATTGGAGTGTAACACAAAAGTCTAAAGTTCCAGCGACAGAAAAAAGAGGGTGAAAGGACTGCTGCCAAACTCAGAAGAGAGGGAAGAGGACGAGGACTCCCACCTCTCTCACTGACACTGAATCCTTCCCAACATTAACGGATCTCTACTCAGGGTAAGACTGGGGCACAGATGGGAAAGATTTATAAAGGTGCACGAGTTTTCTCTGAATTGGTCATCCTCCAGCCTGCTGTAGGACACAAGTCAAGATGAAATCTTGGTTTCATCAGGTGGCTTCCTGTCCCTTAAGTGCCCTCTGCTCTTGTTGTGTTGAGTTAGGCTCCAGCAGAGTGGCAACTACACAGAGAGATGGGGATGCTTTAAGGGTATTTCTTACTTGACACCATGTAAATTACCTCTATTTATTAGTATCTGCCTAAATAAACTCAGACTCCATTGCTTTCTTGTTTGCAACCTCTATAGTTACAAGTGGCAACTTGGAGTGGGCAGAAGCAGGTAACAAGTAATTGGGAGCTTATCAAATCTTTGTGCAACTTTTTCTGAATCAGTCACTGATTTTTACCCTATTTTATGGTGGTATACCTTACATTACAAAAGGAAACCATAAGCATTTCTCTCTGTGGGCCACTGTTGTAGAGGAAATAAGTCCTGATCATAGAAAAATAAATGACTTTTTTTGTTATGTTGTGGTTCTCAACCTTCCTAATGCCGCAGTGTATTTTCATTGTTAAAAAGGGGTGGCAATCCACAGGCTGAGAATTGCTGCTCTATGAGATGGTGAGCCAGATAATTAGATGTCAGCTTTCAGCAGAGCAAGTCAGATATAATCAACTCCATAGTTGAAGAAAACATGTCTCTATCATAGGATAAGAATGAAAAGAATGTGGTGCCTTTGGCCTCTGTGTGTGTCTTAAAGAGATTATAAATTTTATATCATGATCACTTTAAGTTACAGAGGTTAAGACATTCAAGTTTAAAACACAAAGTTAACATTTGTGAAGTTTTCTACTTCTTTTTTTTATTTTTAGAGACAGAGTCTCACTTTGTCGCCTTCAGTAGAGTACTGTGACATCACAGCTCACAGCAACCTCCAGCTCTTGGGCTTAGGCGATTCTCTTGCCTCAGCCTCCTGAGTAGCTGAGACCACAGGCGCCCACCACAATGTCCGGTTATTTGTTATTATTATTATTATTTTATTATTATTATTATTTTGCTGTTTGGCCAGGGGCGGGTTCAAACCCGCCACCCTCGGTATATGGGGCCGGCACCCTACTCACTGAGCCACAGGCACTGCCCGTTTTCTACTTCTTTTAACTTTACAAAATTATCAAGGCCGGTTAAAGAGGATATCCTTACAATTGTGTATGTAATACTCAATACTCAGTGGAGTTCAAACAAGCCCTGGTTTGTCTGAGAGCCCTTCCTGGTGGTGTATTCTTTTCATTACTTGAAAGAATTATAATCAATATGTAAACTGATACATGTGGAGGGAATAAAGACTTGATCTGAAAACACAGGTTTTATATCTAGTGATATAAAGGAGTTAAAAATCAACAGACTAGACCCGGCGGGCAGACAGGAAGGCTCAGAGCCAGCGGAGGAAGCGGCAGTGAACCCAGCCAACTGGAGGGTGGAGCAGGTGCGCGCGTGGATGGGGCTGACCTCCGGCTACTGGGGCGGCAGTAGGGTTTCCCCAGGGGCAAGTCTGGGAGCCCAAATACGCGAATAGGGGCCCGCAGAAGGACACGCTCCGGACCCAGGTCCTGATCCTACCCTAGAAGGTCTTGCCCGGGCTTTCCCGGCCCCCTGGCCCTCCCTACCACTCGAGTGCCAGATGTTCAGGGGGCGGAGGCCTTGGCTGGGGGAAGAGGTGCTGGCGCTGCTTCCCTGCCCGCAGCTTCAGTGCGTGCGCCAGGAGTTGGCGGGCGAGCTGCAACCCGAGCACGGCGGGAAGAGCTAGTTCCGGGGAGGTGCGAGGGGGTGTCCGCGCCGCGTTTCGCCCGCCTACGGGCAACACTGCCCAGCGCCCGGCCCTATGCTCGCGGTCCCGCACCGGCCGATGGGGCCCGGCCGGCTGCGGTCATGGGCAGGGGTCTAGCTGGGACAAGGGTCTTTAACTGGGAAGAGAAGTATCCCTGGCACAGCCCAGGGAAGCAGAAACCCGGGAGACCTCAAATTGCACGGCAGCGCCAGCCGGCAGAACGGCACGGGCAGGCGGGTGGTGGGGTTCCGGGGCGCCCCCGACTTCTCCAGGGAAGTCCCAACCGCGCGAACAGAACTAGCGCTCAGGCTCACCGGACCTCGCGCTCGTCCCCCGCGTCTCCCAATAATGCACAAAATTTTCTGACTCCCTCTCCCGTGGCGATCACAGAGAGCGATCTCCTGCCTTTCGTAACCGCAGGGGCGACTTCGCCAGGCCTGGCCCGGCACCGCCCTGGAAGCGAGCGCTGCAACCACGGTGGCTCTCCAAAGGCTCCGGCGCCCTCTAGGGCAGCTGGGCGGAGGAATGCCCTCTGTGATAGGGTCCTGTCCCGTACCTCGGCCAAGGCGGTGCACGACAATGGGCAGCTTAATTAGGTTGTTGACAACAGCGAGGAGGAGTACTGGCACGAAAGCAGATCCAATTACGAGACCGTAATTCCGGAGGGCAAGCCCAAGAGCCCCGCATGTTACAATAACAAGGAGCTGAAGGGGAGGCTGGTGTGCACTGCGTGTGAAGTGCCAGCCTTGATAGGAACATTGCAATGGCCAAGGGGAACCATGGCTGCAGCATCAAGCAGGTGCTGGGCGCACTCCCGTGGCGTAAGCGCCTCTGACCTGGCCAGCGTGGCCCCACTCCCTGCTGAGTGTACGGTGGACAGGGTGCTGTCTGAAAAGGCCTTTGGCTTCCATGGCAAGTGCGTCCAGTGGATCCAGCAGATGCTGCCTGACAAGCGGATTCCCAGCCTAGTGACATATTATGATTCTTGGAAGAACACCCATCGCAGCCAAACTAGAGTGATGGACAGACAGGGATGGCGCCTGGGGGCCCGCAAGGACAAAGAAGGCAATGATACACTTGAAAAGGGACGGGGACCTATGAGTGAGGGAGACTTACTTCTGGAGATCACACACGGCCCCCTTGGCTCCTGAATGCTCACCCAGGCCCCAGGAAGAAGTAGGCTCAGTTCCACCACCACCTGTTGTGAACCTGGCATTGCCCACTCAGTGGCGTGCATTTGAGTCCTGGGGGCCTCCCTGCCATGTCAGGAAGCCCAGACCTCCCAGCCTCGGACTCCAAAGTCTGGGTTCTTAGCTCATCTACCTCAAGTGCCAGGTGCAGAGCATGAAGCCACAAACAGCAGCCTGCACCAAGCTCTGGAGGGTGGCATTGATTCACTCTTCCTCCCTGAGGCCAAGGCCAAGTTCAACAACAGCTAGACCACTGATGAGTAGATTTTGGCTGTCCTAGCCATCCCTAGGTATGACAAAGACTTTGGGCTGTTGCAGAGGTAATTGGGAGCAAGACTGACCCAAGTGAAGATGCTTTCCCTTGGCCATTGCAATGCTCAGAAGCCACTTCAATCTGGAGAAGGTGCTGCAGGTATGGGAGGCCAAGAGGATGGGGCTCCAGGAGTACCTGCCCCCCATGGAGGAGGTTAGGAGAGGGGCTCCCTTGCCAGCCCCAGGCCTAGAGAAAGATGATGAGGTCGACTTACATCTGTGCCCCCGTCAGTGCCTTCTGCACCACCACCCCCTCTAACTCCTATCTCACTGTCCCAGTCATCCCCACTGCTGAGGCCACCTCTGTCCACAGCTCCCTTCTGCTTCTTCCTCCAGTCCCCGCTAATTTTCAGCTGCCTGCTCTGGCTGCCTCCCATCACAATGCCCCCGTCCTGGCCCTAAGCCCCCACCCACCCTAATTGGAACCCTTTTGGAGCCAGCAGTGCCCTCACTCTGAGCCCTAAGGTCCCCCACCAATGAGAGGTTTCAACCCCTTTGCTGGACATTCTCCCACATCTCTGGTGTCTCTGAGGACAGAGGGACTACGGGCCCTTGCCAGGCCTTTCAAACACCCAGAGCTGCCAGTTGGCACAGCCTGACCTGTGGGTTCTCATGTGTTTCTGGCAGCAAAGCCTTTCTCCCTCCAGCCAGAGACTGAGGCTCAGGGACCTTCTGAGCTGGCCTGAGAGTGCTTTGTGCTTCCTGGCTGCAACCGGAATGCTGCCTCCTAGTCTGCTGGGGCTTGGCCCTTTGGCCCTGCCTTTTGTGTGTAGAGTTAGTGACCTTAGTGTGGGGGTGGGGAGAGGACAGTTTGGTATGTTGGCTGTTCTCATTCCTCTTTCCCTTTTTAAAATCAATAAGTCTGGGGAGAGGTAGGGAGGGGGGCAGGAGTGGGGCAGGAACAGCCCAGAGGCTGGAAGCTGTGTTTGCAGAGGCCAATGGGAAATGCTGAGACCCTCCACCATGCCCATCTCCTTTTGGAGAAAGAGGGGCTGGGGACTTACGAAGCAGATATGGTTTCTTTTTCAACATTTTTTAAAAATAAAAAAATGAAACTTTCCCCCCAAAGTAACAGACTAGTGTCAAGTTTGTGAGATATCAGGCTTGCGTGAAAAACAGGTGACTGTTGCTGGCAGCAAACACAAAGAACCAGTGAGTGTGTAGGCAGGACGGGCTACAGAACCTCAGAGGGCTCCTGCCAGGGAGGGGAGGAAGAATCTGGGTAACCTAAGTCCCAGGGTCTGACTAGATTCTACCCATGAGCAGATTTAGAAGAAACCAGGGCCGGGGCTGGTTAGAATGGCATCTACATTTCAGAGTGTGGATAGTCGCTCAACATAACATCGCCCAGATAAAGGCTGCCTATTTCTTTGTGCATGAGCTCAGAGAGCTCCATTTTGTTCAGTCCAAAGATCTATTGTAAACATGAAAAGCTTCCAAAGGAAATTTTGGAATTAGGTCAGAAGATGTGAGACACCTAGAAAAAAATTCCGGAAACTGAGATACAAGATGAGCTGGTGGAATATAACCTGGCACGCCCTTCTGGGTAGAAATTTAGCAATATCTAACAAAATGATACATTCTTACCTTTTGACCCAGTATTTTCACTTGTAGGAGTCTATCTTGAAGTTACTCCTGCAACAATATAAAAATACACATCCACAAGATTAGTAGAATTATTTTTTGCAGTATTGTTTGTAGTTGCAAAATATTTGAATGTCCATACATAAAACAGTATATCCACATAATCAAGTAGACACCTGTCAAAAGAGTTGAGAAAGCTTTTTATGAACTGATACGGACGGATTTCCATATAGCCTAATAATGTCATCTTCATGTTAGAAAATGTGAATAAGGAAATATATATGTATGTGGTTGCTCACTTGTGAAAAGTAAACACAAGAAACTTACACCAGAATCTAATAAGATTGGTATCTATAGAGGATGAGCAGGAATGAAGTGGAAAGAATAGAAAAACAGCTGGGATGCATAAAGAGCTGTAACGTGAAAGAGAAGTAACATTTCTCAGATCACAGATTTTTGTAAAGCTCTGACTTTAGAACCCTATTTCACAACCTAAAAAATAAATACATACTTAAAATCAACCAACAAATGAGTCTAACTGGGTTACAAACGAATAATTTAACCACACTGAAGAGGAGGGAGAAAGAAAGAGCTAATCTAAACAACTTTGAAATGCAGTGTTTTGACTAGATGCGTAAGACGACAGACAAAAAGAACCGTCAACTTGTAATGTACTCTAGTTAGTAAATTTATTTTTCCCAGTTAATTATTAATAACTTAGAAACTATTTGATGTGGACTAGAATCGAGCAAGGAAGTAAATTTATTGTGTGCAATTATATAGTCAGAGAAAAGGGTTAAAACAAAGGGGGAAAGTTTATGTAAATTGAGTTGTGGTGGACTGGAACTGTGAATATCAGAAGAAACTTTATATAGAGAAATGGATAGGTAGAAAAGAAATATAGATGTGTATATTCATGTGCTAGTATATAAACATATATTTCTTAACATTTCCCCTGAGAGGGCCTAGAAGTAATAAACACACCTAATGTGATAGCTTGGTGTCTAAACCTACTAATCAATGATAAAAACCAGAATTTGGGGAGAAATGGCTGATTCTAGTCTGCAGCAGGAAAAGTATGAGATGAACCCAGAATATATTTTGAAACCTAACCGTAAACAAGTGCTGAAAATATATTAGACACATGTGCAAAGAACATGAGATCAAACGCGGAGGAGTTCTCAGTGACCAGACTGGGACAAGTCAACTAACAAAATAATGATAGAAAAATGTTACCCACAGAATAAAATAAGTATCTTTAAGTATACACTGATAAAACTAAATGACTGAATAAATAAAATAAATGGAGGAGCAGGGACAACTCTTGCTCACAGTAGGACTCCAATTAATAAATGCAGAAGAAATGATGCAAATAGAAAATTACCCTTAGTCAAATACCACAGTAAATATGTTAGAAGCAAGAATTATCAATGAATGTTAAAAATAGTGGCTAAAAAAATATTAAAGTATGATGAGACTACATTTGCATAGTCTCAAAGATGTCTTTCCAAATGATACTTTTTAGGATGAAAGGGTAAATAGTATTTTACATTGGAGGAATCAGGCAGACAGTACCTGAACAAAGTGATCAGGTGATCAAAGGTCATAAGTCATATCGACATTGTGAATCTCTTTATACAAGACACTCAGAATGGTAGAACATCACTTCTGTGACATACTTTTCAAAACTACTTAACTTCAATCTAATAACGAGATAACACCAGAAAAACTCACATTGAAGGATATTCCACAAAATGACAGGCCAGTACTCTTCTAAAATTTCAAGGTCATGAAATACAAAACATCAAAGTAAGGAACTATAAAAGAAAGAATAAGGAACTATCAAAGATATGGCAAGACTAAGGAAACGTAGTGACCAAATGCAGTGAAGGATCTTGGGTTAGAAAGCAGGAGACAAGGACCTTGGTGGGAAACTGCTGAAGTGAAAATAAGGTGTGTGTGAGTTACTTAGTAATACTGCATCAATACTAAAATCCTGGTTTAGGTAATTGTTTTAGAGTTAGCTAAGATATTAACATTAGAGAAAGCTGGGGAAATGGTGTATGGGAATTTCTGTACCCATTGTACGCCTTTCTGTGAATCTAACTATTTTATAAAATAAAGTTATCTTTGAAGAGAGCCAGTGGAACAGTTTATAGGATAGCAGTTTAAAGGAAAATAGGCTTTTTAATGTACAAAAAACAAAGTTCAAGGATAGAAAACAAAAATTGAGTCCATAATGTAAAGTACTGTTTGGCTAACTGATTTGAAACTGCTTTCCATTTCATCTTTTGCTTTGCAGATAAAGGAATACCACAAACATGGCCTCAGAGACCACCGTGTGGGCCCCAGAGACCCACGTGCCGGCCCCAGAGACCCACATGCTGGCCCCAGAGACCCACATGCCGGCCCCAGTTTGCCTCATCAAGAATACTAAAGGGCAACTGGTGGTTAATCCAGAAGGCTTGACAATCCTGTCTGCCATCAAGCAGCCCGTGGTGGTGGTAGCTATCGTGGGCCTCTACCGCACAGGCAAATCCTACCTGATGAATAAGTTGGCTGGGAAGGACAAGGGTGAGTGACCAGCATGGCTGAGTCTCCTCTGTCCAATCACATGGTCAGCACCCATTGTGGGGATGTGAGGAGAGAAAATTAGAGTGGGGGATGAATGTTGAAAACTAATTTCAGTCCATCACTGGGCTCTTCACATGTGCTTTGTGTGGAAGATTGGAATCAACTCACTCTTTCTTCCCACTTTGCCTTTATTTTCCTATTTAAGAATATAAATGTGCTTTTGTGAAAGAAATAAGATGTTAATAAAGAAAAATAGCTTACATGATAATGAATCATTACACATTTTCTAAAAAGTTCCTGTAGCAACATCAATCTTTCACTGCAATTTATTTTTATTTATTTATTTTTGAGGCAGAGTCTCACTTTGTCACCCTTGGTAGAGTGCCCTGGCATCACAGCTCACAGTAACCTCAAACTCTTGGGCTTAAGGGATTCTCTTGCCTTAGCCTTCCAAGTAGCTGGGACTACAGGCACCCGCCACAATGCCCAGCTATTTTTAGAGATGGGGTCTTGCTCTTGCTTAGGCTGGTATGAAATCGGTGACCTCAGGCAATCCACCTGCCTCAGCCTCCCAGAGTGTTAGGATTACAGGGGGGAGCCACCATGCCCGTCCACATTCCACTGCAATTTAAAGAAAAATGAATGTTTCAAATCTATGTTTGATTCCTGATTTTCCTATTTCTGGGATTGAAATTAACATTAACACTAGTTGTAGTTGTTTTTTTTTTTGTATCTTTTATAATGACTTATTTAAATTAATATCATCATGAATTGATTATTATAAATTCATTCTACAGATGGAAAAAATCTTACATAGGGAAGTGAGTTACCTAAATTTCCACAGCTAATGAGAGACAGGTCTTGGGTTCAGTCTTCACCTATCTGAATATTTTTTTCAATTTTCAGAAGTGTCTACTTTGTAATCTCCTTCCTGCCTTATCCCCTCTCTTGTTTGCAGGCTTCTCTCTGGGCTCCACAGTGCAGTCTCACACCAAAGGAATCTGGATGTGGTGTGTGCCCCATCCCAAGAAGCCAGGACACACCCTAGTTCTGCTTGATACTGAGGGCCTGGGAGATGTAGAGAAGGTAAAAAATAAATTTTTAAAATTCTACTTATGTCACATTAGTAGCCCCCATTTGCATCCTCACTCTTGCTCCTTGATTTATGGTTCTAATTAATTATATCATTGTATTATTTTTAGTTTACTTGATACAAGCATTGAGAGTGGATAGTAATTTCAATTGATTATGAATCAACTCATAAAATAATGGCGAATGATGTTTTTAGTCTTTCTTTCTTTTTTTTTTTTTTTTTTTGCAGTTTTTGGCCAGGGCTGGGTTTAAAACCACCACCTCCAGCAATGAGGCTGGCGCCCTACTCCTTTGAGCCACAGGTGCCACCCCTTAGTCACTTTTTTTTTATGTTATGGTAATATGTTTCGGTAAGACTACTGAAGGCTCCTTTAATTTTCACACACATCTGAGTTTTCACAGTGGGGACCCTGGAGGATGGTTAAGAGTGTTCACATCCACAGCAGCACCACTAGAATCAGGAGCCAAGAGCAAGATCTCATCATAGCATCTCTATTCATTAAGGAGAATGTGTTACTACTACATGAATCTTGGACATAGAAAACTCCTGGGAAAGGAGCTTATTTTAACTATTGTCTAAAAAGTTTCTTACCATAATGTGTCATGAAAATTGAAGATAGTTATAAACTTATATTCAGGATACCAGTGGGAATTTGAGTAACTGATCAAAATAGCTACTACTAATCAAGTACATCTGAACTTGCCACTGTCATATACAAATTATATATACAACATTTAAATCATACAACATCATGAATTAAATATTTTAAATTCATGCTACAGATGAGAAAAATGCTGCAGGGGGAGGTAAGCTCCACAGCTAATGAAAGACAGGTCTGGGGTTCTGTCTTCACGTATCTGAATTGACAGCACCTTCACTGAGTCACCCTTCTACACTGACTTCCAGGGAGACAACCAGAACGACTCCTGGATCTTTGCCCTGGCCATCCTCCTGAGCAGCACCTTCGTGTACAACAGCATGGGAACCATCAACCAGCAGGCCATGGACCAACTGCAGTATCCTTTCATTGTGGTCAGAGTAGCACTCAATCTGAGAAAGAACAGCTTCGTCTTTTCACCAGGCCCAGAGCCTGGTAGGGAAGAATTGAGGCGGAGTCTCACTTTGTCGCCCTTGGTAAGGTGCTCTGGCGTCATAGCTCACAGCAACCTCAAATTCTTGGGTTCAAGTGATTCTCTTGCCTCAGTCTCCCAAGTAGCTGGGCTCAGCTTTCACTGTGCTCCACATCTCATTTTACCTCCACCAGGAGTTTGAACCTTCCATATTCTCAGACACTCAGCCCCACAAGGCTCTGTACATCCTCTATCTGACTTAATATCCTGTCCCTGTCCAACCCTAAAATATTCTCTAGAACATATGCTCTCACTTTCACAAATCTCTGTATTCTTACCATCTCCGTGTTGCCTCCTAACTGACTCCTAGCTATACACCATAGAGGTTATTTCCTCCCCAGATCTCTCAGATGATCTTACGTGGTAATTATATTTTTATCCCGAATTTTGCATGTCATAAATCCCAGGGATGAATCCTCTTTGCACCTTAAAACAGTTAATAGACACATTCTCCTTCCCGCACCATCAAAAAGAGAACCTCAAGCTATACCATCTTTCTTTGTTACAGTTTATCTACCAGCCTCCCAGTCAACACACCTTCATTTGTTAAAGATGTTAGCTGCTGGTGTTCTTTTCAGAGACTAGCAACCAATAGATACTTATTGTCAATATCTGATATTTTATTATGGTTATTTACTTGATTATTATCTGTCTTCATCATCAAAATGTAAGTTCTATAATGGTAGCATGTGTCATTAACTGTAATATTCTTAGTCACTAAAACAGGTGCTCAATAAATGTTTGGGAATGAATAAATCAACAAATACAGAGAAAACAAATTAGTTTAGGTAAGCACTGGGATAAAACATAGCATAAAAGTGGTATTTTTTTCTGTAGTTTTCTTAATTTAGCATCTCAGTTACGTGACAGAGCTGACAAATCGAATCAGGTCAAAATCCTCCCCAGGTGACAGTCAGGTAGAAGACTCAGCTGACTTTGTGAGCTTCTTTCCAGCATTCGTGTGGACTCTCAGAGATTTCTCCCTGGACCTGGAAATAGATGGACGGCCTATCACCGCTGATGAATACCTGGAGCATTCGCTGCAGCTAAAAAAAGGTTACTGGGCCCATTGGTTGGTTGGGTAACAAAAAAGAGAGGAAACAATATCACAATGACCATTCCTGTGTAGATGCTGAACTTTAGAATTTTGTGACTGTGTTTTTTTGATTGTTCTGTTAGTGGAAATGAAAACATGGCTTGACTAAATCATTTAGATTCTATTTTTTTCTTGAAAAAAGATTTTAAAATTCTAAAAAGAATTTTTAAATAATTTCTCCTTCATCATTAGTTTTCTCCTTATATAGTCTTTTCTTTTTCTTTTTTTTTTTGAGACAGAGTTTCAATTTGTTGCCATTGGTAGAGTGCCACACTGTCATAGCTCACAGCAACCTGAAACTCTTGGGCTCAAGCAATCCTCTTGCCTCAGTTTTTCATTTTTAGTAGAGGTGGGGTCTTGCTCTGGCTCAGGCTGGTCTGAAACTCATGAGCTCAAGCAATCCACCCGCCTTGGCTTCCCAGAGTGCTAGGATTATAGGCGTGAGCCACTGCACCCAGCTTCTTACATAGGCTTTGTGAAAATTATAACGTTGAAGGATCACATATTTGAAATACTTGGTCTGAAGTTTTACCACCCCGAATTTTCACTCCTGCAGGTACTAGTCAAAAGAATAAAATCTTTAATGAGCCTCGACTATGTATTCGAAAGTTTTTCCCCGAGAAGAAGTGCTTCATTTTCGACCGTCCTGCTCATAGGAAGTACCTTACCCGCTTGGAGCAGCTAAAGGAGGAAAATCTGAACCCTGAATTCCTAGAACAAGTTGCAGAATTCTGTTCCTACATCTTCAGCCATGCCAAGGTCAAGACTCTCTCAGGTGGCATCACAGTCAACGGGCCGCGTG